GCGGTCATGGAAAACCACCCGGACCACGCTCTGGACAGGGTCAGGCACGGCCGGAGCCACGGCCACGGCCACGGGCTGAGCCCACGGCCCCGCGGGACAGCGGCCAGGAGCGCGGCTGGGCTGGGGTTGGACTGGGGCAGAACTGGGGCAGAACTGGGATTGGACTGGGGTACAACTGGGATTGGACTGGGGCAGAACTGGGGCAGAACTGGGATTGGACTGGGGCAGAACTGGGATTGGACTGGGGCAGAACTGGGATTGGACTGGGGTAGAACCGGGCCTATGAGGCTGAAATGCGCCTGGGGCTGCACTGGGGCAAAATTGAGGCTGAGATGGGGCTGGACTGGGGTGGAACTGGGGCTATGAGGCTGAAACGAGACTGAACTTGGGCTCAGATGAGGCCGGACCGGGCCTGAAGCGGGACCTCAGCCCGGAGCTTTGCCCCGAGGCTCCCCCTCACCCCGGGGGTCCCCACCCCGCTCACCTTCACCATCCTGCGGCTCTCGGCGGGGTCCCCCCGGGGCGTTCCCATCATGCGGATCTCGTAGGACTGTCCTGGGGGAGGGGGCCCGCAGCAGGAGCTGAGCGCTCAGCGAGGGGGTCCCTCCTCCCCGGGTCCCCCAGACTCACCCTGGTTGAGATAGGTGAGGGTCTCCTGGTGGTGCCGCACGGCCGGGGAGGTGGGGGCGCTCAGGATGTACTGGAACTCCGGGATCGGCGGCTGAGACGTGGAGATGCCGTTGGGCTCCTCCTGCTTCAGGTAGGGCAGGACTGGGGGGTCCCTGCGGGAAAACCCCCCCCGAAAAGGGTGGGCGCTCGGGCGTGCCTCAGTTTCCCCAAAGGCAGCGGGTGTGGGGGGTACCTGAGCACCCCGGAGCTGGGCAGGGGGAACATGTCCCCGGGGCTGGACCAGTAGTGGTCGGGCTGGCCGTGCCAGAAGAGCATGGTGGGGGGGGCAGGGGGGACACCCCGCGAGCAGAGGGTGACAGCGGACAGGGACAGGTGGGCGGCCCCACCCCCGTTTTATCGGCACCGCGGGGGTGACGTGAGCGGGGCCGGGCCGAGTTTGGCCCAGTTGGGACCAGTTTGGGCTGTTGACAGTAAATACTGGCGAGGGAGGGGCACCGTTTGTTGCCCATACAATGGGGGGACACCAGCGGGCTCCCCCAGTCCCTCTGTCCCCCCCTTGTGCGTCCCCCACTTCAACCCCTTCAATTTCTGCCAGGTTTGGCTCTTTTTGGGCAGGAAAAGGGCATTTGCAGAGCTCCAGGGGCCAGGGTGGGGGTGGGACCCTGCTGTGTCCCCCCATGGGTGCTGGGGCTGGCAGATTTTGGGGTGCTGTCCCCTCATGGGGACACCGGCACATGACACAGGGGGTGTCACACACACAGGGGGTGTCACACACACACAGGCGGTGTCACACAGGGGCTGTCACACACGGGGGGCACCCAGCGCCCCCAGCCCGGGTGGTCCCAGCACTGTGACAAACCCCGAGGGTCTCAGCTCCATTTCCCAGGGTGGGTGACCCCCCCAGGTGACCCCAGGGGAGGGGCAGGGCTCAGGCCAGGCCGCGTCCGTCTGTCCGGCCGTTCCCAGTGTGGGATGGAGCTGCCAAGGAGCTGCTGGGGGAGTTTGGGGGGGCTGGGCCCAGCTCTGGGGGGTCCCTGCTGTGAGCCACTCCCAGCCCTGGCTCCTTCCCCTCTGCTGAGCCCCCCAGACCCTCCCTGAGCCTTTGGGGGGTCCCGGGGCTGTGGGGAAGGGTCCCAGCCAGGGATTTCCAGCAATTCCCCGTTCCCTCCCCGCTGCACACACGGAGACTGGGTGGGAAGAGTCCGGGATGTTTTATTGGGAGCCTGGGGCTGGGGAACGCTCGCTGCAGGGCTCGGCCCGTGGTCACTTCTTGGCCTCCTCCTCCTTGGACAGGGTTTTGATGATCTCCTCCTTCTTGGCCTGCAGCCGCTCCTCCCGCCGCTTCCGCGCCTCCTTGGTCTTGGAGCGCCGCGCTTCCGCCTGGTCCCTGCGGGGTCGGGGCCGTGAGGAACGCTCGGAACAACCTCACAGCAGCCTGTCCCTGATCCCCCTGAGGTCCTGTGCCCCACAGCAGCCTGTCCCTGATCCCCCCGGGGTCCTGCTGCCCCACAGCAGCCTGTCCCTGATCCCCCCGGGGTCCTGCTGCCCCACAGCAGCCTGTCCCTGATCCCCCCTGATCCCCCTGGGGTCCTGCTGCCCCACAGCAGCACTGCCCCACTGCCCACAGCCCATTCCGGCCTCTCCCACTCCCGCCTGCAGCTGTTTTGGGCTCACCTGTCTCTGCTGAAGTGAAGAGATTCAGCTTTTCCCCCCAAGGACACAGCGGGATTGTGCAATCCCTCCCCTCCCTTGGTCAATCATTCACCCACTCCCCTGGTCAATCAATCAATCATTCTGCTGTGGTTCCACTCCAGCAGCTGATGGGGAATTTCCCAGCTCCCACCTCTCTAAAACCCTCAGTGAAACACAAAACCCCAGCACAAACCCCACATTTCTCTGCTCCCCGGCTGGCCCTGCCCACTTTGGGATGGATTCCACCCAGAACCCCCCCCGGAATGACCCACAGGGGGAATTATTCCCGACAATCCAGCTCCAGTCTGGAGCAGCGCTTACGCCAGGAGCTTCTTGCGGGCTTTGTCCGCCTTCAGCTTGTGGATGTGCTCCATCAGGATCCGCTTGTTCTTGAACACGTTGCCCTTCACCTTCAGGTACAGGCTGTGGTACCTGCGGGGCCCGGCAGGGTGGGGACATCAACTCCTGCCCAGCTCCCGCCTTCCCGAGGCTGGGAATGGCTGGGAATGGCCAGGGAGGGCTGGGAATGGCTGGGATCGCCCAGGGAATGGCTGGGATCGCCCAGGGAATGGCTGGGATTGCCCAGGGAGTGGTTGGGATTGCCCAGGGAGTG